CTTATAATTCGGTGGACTTTAAAGAAAAAGAGTCCACCTAATGGTTAGTGGCTAAAGTAGTCCATGGACACTACTTTTAAACAATTTCAAACACTCTTGTCACTGATGCTGCATAGCAGCAAATTTCAAGGTGTAAAAGGAACTTAACTTCGTCATGTGGTTTTATTTGTGTAATATCATTATCATAATGCATAGGTTTATATTTTACAACAGTAATAATTTTTTTTTATAGGATAAGGGTGACAAACGAGCACACAGTCCACCTGATGGTAAGTGGTTGCTGCGGCCCATAGACATCTACATCTATCCTCGTTTGCGAATCAAAATGCAGATGCGTTGCCACCCGTGAGGACTAAGATGGAATGCCTCATTTCCAGTAAAAAGGGCCTCCGGCCAACTGCACTCACCAAGAGAAACGCAGAGGTAAACCTCTACTTCACGCTCGTATTCTGTGAGGTCGTGGTACCACCCCGGTTTGAGCCGGCCCATGCGTGCGACAGCAAAAGCTGCCGCGTGGCTCTACCACTGTTACAATAAATGAATGTAATGATAAAACCACTTACCGAAAATACTTAATATTCCATTTTAAAGTTGCTGGCCAGTTAGCACAACCTCCTCTTATTACTACAGGTATATTCTTCGCTACATACTCTCGGTAAAACCGCAGAGGCTCTACAAAACCAATTTCAGGTACGAAACCGCCAAGGTACAATGCTGAAAATATCATAGGTAATGTTTTTTATTACAGCCTATTACTGCTGAACTTTCCAGACTTAGATTGCCTCATATACGGAATAATTGACATAGTCGCCACGCTTGGCAGGTGGGACAGCAGCCGCATCTTTTTATCTCGTTTTGTTTTCCCTTGTCGCCTCTTAAGACACCCACGGGAAGATGATATGAAGTAGTGGATTGTATTCTCTTAGGCCGCCAATACACGACGAACACATTGGAATCAAAGAATGTTATAGGTGTAATAGTTTAAACTTAAAAAAAAAAAGTAAATTATATACTTACCAACAGATTCTTCATTGAGGACTTTAAAAGCTTTTGCAATTCTCTCAGCCATTAGAAAGGTTATATCCTCAACAATTACATATCAAGATCCATTTATTTTGTAAACAAAAATTCCGAACCATAGATATTTAGTAGCGATGCACGATCAAAGAGTATAGTAATATATAAGGAAGTGCACCACAGACTACTTAGTCTAGTAGTAGTAGTACTTAGTACTTAGTATCGGAAACTGTCACAAAAACAACAAATAACAATAAAAAAAACCGATGGCGACACAAGCTTACATTATACCTTGCTGCTCCGGTAAGCACTCTAAAAGTAAATGTTCTCGTAAATTGACAAGAAATGCAAGGTGTATATCCCAATCTGTTTAAAGTGGCAATAAGTCACATACGGGTGTTTAAATAACAATAGGAATATCGACTTATCATTCTTTACTGTTCTTCTTCTTCTTTTAAATTATGGCAATCACTGGCACTTGGTCCGGCTCATCGTTCTCACCGGCATCACTTGCAAGTGCGTAGTACGGCATGTGTAGTGTTTGCATATATGTAGTATACAGTAAATATTGTTATTTGTTTTATTTACTAATAATTTACCATGCACAAATACATAAACATACATTTATATATAAGTCACTGTCTCGAGCGCACCACGTCAGTTACACGAGAGCCTCGGGCGAGAGTGGACGTGTTTAGTTAAGTGCGTGCCGAGCCAGTACAGACAGTGATTAGAGAAGATAGCAGACATTACAAGTGGCGACGAGGAAAAAGATAAGTACCTATTTAGTATAAAGATATAATCAAAAATAGGTTAGCAATGTGCAACTATTAACATTGCAATTGTAAATTAATTCCTAGAGTACCCGCGGAAAAAAATTGTGGATTATGAATTATGATTTATTGTTTTAACCCTGTTCTGATCATTTTAATAATTTATATAAAATATATGTTCGCATTTGACCACGCTTATGGTGTGCTAAAATTTATTTTCTTGATGTAGCAATGATAAAATAATGATTTATTTTAACATATGACTATTAGCACAACTTTTATATAAAAAGATTTTTGATGGAAAAATAGTAGATGTTACTAAAAACTCCTCTCGATTTGAACCGAAATACAATGTCGTTAGCTAAATTTTAGTGGCATTTAACATGTAGGTGTGATATTTATCGCCTTTAATGAAAATACTATTTTACTGCTTTCATGGCATATCTTCAAGGTCTTACAAAAAATCGTGGACACTTCACGACTTCTGTACATTGCAAAGTAGGTAACTAGTAATACTGTAAATGCGCAATATAGGTATTGAATTTACCCAAAGCCTAAATGGCACAGCAATGGAAGTAGTGTGTATAATAAATAAACCGAAAGAGAAGGGCGAGTGTTCTGGAACATATTATTATCATGAAATTGAGTTTGGGTACCAAGATACCAACCATTAAATTGGTGTTGGGTACTAAGATACCATCATTAAATTGAGTTTGGGTACAAAGATACCATCATTAAATTGAGTTGGGTACTAAGATACCATCATTAAATTGAGTTCGGGTACTAAGATACCATCATTAAATTGAGTTCGGGTACTAAGATACCACCATTAAATTGGAGTTAGGGTACTAAGATACTACCATTAAATTGGAGTTAGGGTATTAAAATACCAGCATTAAATTGGAAAAAATATAAGAAACTGTTTCAGTTTGCCCCTAAAATAATAATAATAATGAGACCGTTATCAGCTTTAATGTGATAGCACATCTATGGCTATAAGGTGTGAAAAATGGAAAAGGTCTCTACTAATCTATCTGGACGCAGCTGAAGTTATATCAGCACTCAAGAAATGAGCTACGCTATTGCATTTTGGTGGCTCTGGGATACAAGAAATATTCTACAATTTACCGGGTGCCAATGTCGAATCATCAGAAACCGTTGATGTATTTAAAGTAGCCATAAAAAAACTCTACGAGTATTTTCAACCTAAACGGAGCAAAGTTATGAGCGGCATGTTTTTCGATTGCTAAAACGGGAAAAAGGAGAAACATTTGAGAAGAGTTTTTGATAAGATTGCGTCAACAGGCCGAAAAGTGTGCATTCGAAAAGCAAGATGATCATTTCATAGATCAAATTGCGGAAAAGTGTAATTCGAAATTGCGCAAGAACCTTATATCTTACAAAACGTGGGAAGAGTTAAAAAGCAAAAAAGTATATGCTTTTAATCAAATGTAAAGACCAGACAAGACATTATTAGCATATGGTAGTAACTCTCCTTTGGCAATAGAGGGTTCATTTGAAACTATACTCGAAGTCGATGGACGAAAGGAACATACAACCATTTACGTGATTTCGGGGGTTACTAGAGACCTGTTTGGTAAGAACACAGCAGTCCGTTTGGGTGTCTTAAAACTTGGTATCGGGATAAATCAAGTGGAGTGTACCGATCCCCATTAAAGAGAAGGTTGTAATCAAAATTAAGGAATCACTAAACAGTGATATAATTGAAGAAGTGCAAGGCCCGTCTAAATGGGTTTCACCAATGTTCCAATCATGAAAGAAAATGGTGAATTACGTTTGTGTGTAGATATGAGATGTACGAACGCCGTTATATTGCGAGAAAACCACCCCCTGTCTACTATGGACCATTTTTGCCTAAAATGAAGAAAGCTAAATATTTTAACAAATTAGAAATAAAAAAATGCCTTCCATCAAATGAAAATTCACTCTGAATCCAGACACATAAAGACTTTTATAACCCCCAAAAGATTATATAGATATAAAAGAATAATGCTTGGAATTACCTGCGCTTCCGAGATTTTTCAGAAGATCATTGAAAGGATGCTGGTAAACTGTGAAGGGGTCGTCAATTTTATTGATGATATCTTGGTATTCGGGAACAGTAAAGAAGAGCATGACGCATGACTAAAGAAAGTTCTACAGGTACTTAGTAAAAACGACGCCGTGCTGTATAGCAATAAATGCATATATAAAACGCAGGATATGAATTTTCTGGGACACAGGTTTACACATGATGGAGTAAACCCTTCAACAAGTACGTTGAGGGCATTATGAAATTTAGGGTTACAAAGACCATAGAAGAACTCCAAAGTTTTTTAGGACTCTTAAACTACATAAACAAATGGATACCTAACTTGGCCGCCATGACAGAACTTCTAAAGCACCTGCTAAGACAGAAGAAGAGCAAAAGGGAGAGCTTGTAAAAACAATGGTCTGGGAAACAAGATAAAGCATTCCAAAAAACTCAAACGGATGCTCACGGAAATACAGATTTTAGGGTATTATGACGTGAGAGATGCAAGACAGGTGATAGCAGATGCTAGCCCTGTCGGACTTGGTGCTGTCCTTGTACAAAATGATACAAATGGCCCTAGAATTATTGCCTATGGTAATCGAACTTTGACAGACTGCGAGCGCAGGTATAGCCAAACGGAAAAAGAGGCACTAGCATTAGTTTGGGGGGTCGAACATTTTAATATTTTTATTTGGAAAGCCTTTTGATTTAGTCACTGACCACAAGCCGCTAGAGATATTGTTCGGGTCTAAGTCAAAACCATGTGCGAGGATTGAACGATGGGTACTGAGGCCACAGTCTTATTCATTCAAGGTTGTATACAAGCCAGGAAAAACAAATATAGCTGATCCCTTGTCACGATTATGTAACTATCCTGATAACCCACCAAAAGGAAAAGACCAGCATGTGTACCAAATAGTGGAAAATTCTAGACCAGTTGCTATACCAATGAGTTCCATTGTAGCATATGAAGAAAAAGACGAAGAGATTTACAAAGTGAAAAAAGGTGTCTATCAGAACGACTGGGACGATTCGATTAAAGAGTTACAAATTTTTTGAAAACGAGTTGTTTCCATGATAGCATTCTACTTCGTGGAAATAAAATTGTAATACCACAGCAACTCTGCAAGAGTGTATTAGATGCTGCATACGAGGGTCATCCACGTATCGTAGCGATGAAGGCACGCTTGAGATCAAAGGTATGGTGGCCCCGTATCGATAAAGACGTAGAACAATTAGTAAAGGCCTGTAAAGGTTGTACGTTAGTGGGTTTGCCAAACCCAACTGCACCAATGAAGAGACGAGAGTTGCCTGCAGCTCCATGGATAGATGTCACAATGGAGCTAATGGGACCATTGCCAAGTAACGAGTATCTGTTAGTAGTGGTCGACTACTATAGCCGATACAAAGAAGTAAACAATTACAAAAACATCACAAGCTTACAGATTATTAAAATAGTAAAAGAAATGTTCAGTAGACTTGGTTATCCTATTTCTATCACCGCAGATAATGGCAAGCAGTTCGTTAGTGAAGAGTTTCGATCTTTCTGCAAAGAATGTAACATTAAGTTATTTAGTACTGTACCATATTGGCCTCAAATGATCGGCGAAGTTTAAAGACAAAACAGAGATATTTTGAAACGTCTTCGTATCAGCCAGATCGAGAGGAAGGATTTAAAAGAATGTTTGTGGGAGTATCTTCTAATGTATAACAGCACCCCTCCTTACAGTTACCGGGAGGTTACCGTCTGAACTGTTTTTTCAACGAAAAAGTAGGGATAAAATTCCATCAATAGGTGAAATAAATTACAGACAATCATTTAGATTCAGATATCAGGGATAGAGACAAAATACAAAAAGAAAAAGGAAAAGAGTATGTATATAGGAAACGCAGAGCAACTCACTCAGATATAATACAGGGAGATAAGTTTTACGTAAAAGCAGTGGAAAATAATTAATACAGACAATACAAGTTGCTTTGTGATTGTTATGAGTTATAATGAAAAAAAGAAAAAATCTTGACAAAGAGATGTAGTGTTTGCATATATGTAGTATACAGTATATATTGTTATTTGTTTTATTTACTAATAATTTACCATGCACAAATACACAAACATACATAAGTCACCTCCTCAAGCGCACCACGTCAGTTACACGAGAGCCTCGGGCGAGAGTGGACGTGTTTAGTTAAGCGCGTGCCGAGCCTGTGTTACACTACAGTGATTAAAGAAGATAGCAGACATTACAGCATGTATTAAACACCGGCATATCGTTTGCACCGGCGTATCTTACGCACATAGCATGCATTTCCCACCGGCATTAAGGACGCACCGGCAATCGGACTGCACTATCAACCTCCGGTCTGAGCAGGGGGGTGATGTGGTGGCGCTGTCGTCGCGCCACAAGCAAAACACATCGAAGCCTAAATCGCAATAACAAAGTTCCGAAGTTAAAGCAGCATATATAGAATAGCTCCGAACTACCAGTCGGAGCGTTGGCCGCTCCCCGGGCAGAACACCTTGCCCGGCGGGAGATCTCCCCTTTTCCTTCCACTGGCTACAGTCAAAACTAAAGCTGAAGCTCGTTCTTGATTTCGGTTTCCAGATAGTGACGGCGTCCTTGAGCGCATGATTGGCTTTTGTGAAATATGCACGCAACTACGAGCAGCGCCGCCGCGTGTACCTATTTCCTCATAGAAATACCTTGCTGACTTTTTCTGGAGAATACCCCTCGATTTCCTCAGCCCCATCAACGTACATATGTACTTGGTGATCGTTGATGCGTACTCCAAACGCCTTGTAAAGTGGCAGGCGGTGTGCCGGCATGAAATACTGTCCCGCTCTGCTGAGCACGCCAAGCTTTATAGAGGCCAATTTGGCCTTCTCTTCCAAGTGACGCGACGCCGAGGATTCCGATACTGGCTGAGGCAGCAAGGGGAGTGCCTTGAAACTGAGGAGATACGACAAAGGGGTTCTTTTTAGCGGTAAACGCGCAAACTTGTGTCTTCTGGGGATTGAACTGGACTAGATTTAGTCTCCCCCAATCCGAGACTTTGTTCAGCAAAGACTCGACTTCAGACACAAGTTTGTTCCGGTACTCGGCGACGTTTTCCCGAGAAATATTAGCACGGCCGGTGTATAGATCAGCAGTGCTGTCATCCGCATAGCAATGAATGTTACCAGTTTGCAACATATCATTGATATGCAGAAGAAACAGCGTTGGTGATAGCACACAGCCTTGTGGAACACCAGCGTTAATAGGCTTGTAGTCGGAGCATGCACCGTCTACAACGACCTTGATGCTCCGATCTGCAAGGAAGTTGGTGATCCAATTGCACAATTTCTCGGGAAGCACAAGAAGGGAGCTTCGAAAGAAGCGCTTTGTGCCAAACCCGATCGAAGACCTTCGCTATCTTCCTCATTCGCTAAAACAGTTCGGATCAAAACAGTGTTCACAGATTAAGTCGCACGGTGGGGAAGAAAAAATGTTTTATATAAAAAACATTCGATTAAAGATAAGTTCAAATGGTATTAAGGCGTAATTATACAAAAACTTGATAAAACCATATACTTAATACGAGACTCTTTGTTAAATACTGTTGTTAAAAAAACATGTAAATCAAATAATCATCAGTCAAGAGAGCTAGATATTCTCAGCCCTGATATCCCAGGTACTTCAGTATCGACACCAGCATCGTGCGTACCTATATTACCGCCAGATTCACAATTTCACGAGCAAGTTCGCGATCTGGGAGAGGGGGATGGACACGAGGACATAATATTAACACCTGCGCCTGCAGCAGAGACTTCTAATGAGAAATTGACGAATTCTAACGACTCTTGCCGCCAATCACGATCACGCTCATAAGTAACAGTAACGCGAGGAGTTCGGCGTCCACAGTTATCAGATGATGAAGAAGAGGTATCACGGGCACAAGAGCATCAAGTGCCATTAAAACGAAATCGCCCTAAGGTGGATTATAAAAAGTCTTTTTTAGTGTTTTTAATATTCTTAATATGTTAGTTTTTTTATATAAGGTATTACATATTATGAAACCCTCACTATAGGCGGAGGAATGTTGTGTAGTATACATGTGCGCGGCTGCGTCCACGCCCAATAATAATGTTTGCAATTAAAGCAGTACATCAATAGCAGTTGAGGGTTTAACTAGTCCCCTGCACTCCGTATCCCTGAACATAATAGGATTCAACTTGTTTTCTCACAACACCTAACCCTATAGTAGGAGCAGCCTTAACAAAGGCACGTAACGGGCTAAGTGATACAGACTCTCACACGCGTAAGTAAGGTGCGTTTTAATTTAATGCGCCGCATTAAAAAAAATTCGACGATTTATTCGGTAGGCTAATTTAACAAAGTTCGTATCCGAGGCGTGCAAAGTATTCTGTACATTAGTAGCGATGTAACTAGGCTTAAACTCGCAAGTTTGCTATCAGTAGTGATCCTTCTGTTCTTGTACTATTATTTATTCTGTGGTTTTTATACAACTTGCCTCCTTCTAGTAATAATTCTATGTTGTATCCCTATTCCCTAATACTATTTAGATATAATCACAAATTAATAAGAAGTGCGAGCGCAGGTATAATATTGTCAATGACCAAAGAAGATATTGTTGTTGCTACGATTCGTCGTTTAAGGCAGGCAAAATTCTTAGACCTGTATGGCCTATCCTGATATGTGTTTTTACATATTAAAACTTTTCACAATATACTGATGAGTAATATTGTTAAATCTCGGGGGATATACCTGCTTTGATGCTTCTCATTGTTTTCACTATTTCATCCATTCTAGGATGTTCTGATTTTCCATTGACATCTCTGGCGATATACTAAATTTCAAGCTTCCCAGCGAGCTGATGTCGTGAGTGAAACTAATTCTTAACCTTGAGGTGGAAAAGATCATACACGATTTGAGAATTAACACGATGCTAATCGAGTCAATTTTACAATACTATTTCTGAACTGCAAAATGTCCTACAACCATAAAATAAGTGGTCTAGAAAGTCTTCAACAATAGTTGAACATTGTAAATTTAATATGTTCAATACAATAATAAGTTATAATAAAACAGACACATAATTCATTGTATATTTTTCTTGAAAAACGTATGTTTTTAAAAATAAAATTTATATATATTTCATTGGCATTGGCTTTTTCAAAATTCCTTTAATAGGCACGGTATTTTCATCTCGCTGTTCTTTTTGAGGAGGAGGTTCTGCAGGTGGAGCAACACTATCGCGAGCCGGCGTTGGTTTTGCCCGCCAAAATGCTCGCGGCATAAAAGCGTATGTAGAGTCTACAGCTGTTACTGAAACGGATTTAAGTAATTTAATAATAATATTAAATAAACAGTAAATTGGGATTTGAACTCCGATTTAACAACTAGAGGTTCAAATACCGGCTAAAGTATTTAGGTAATTTAAAAAAAAATATACATTACATTTCGATTGTCGCTTAGATATTTCCGCCACCGACAATGCACTTTGAGTTTTTGGTCCTGTTAACATGTTTAGTTCAAAGAAATCTTCAGCGCTCGGTCGAGATATGCCCATCTTATTTCTTTCATTTATTTGTCGGAGACGTACCACTTTATCGAAGTTTTGTAAGAATGTTTTCGATGTGTTGTTTATTGGTATAGTATCCAGAACTCCTAGGAAAAAATATTTTATTCAAAAATACAGGTTTCTCCGATTTGTAGCATTCGTAGTATAATCGTTTAAGTGGGTAGAATAGGTGAAATCTATGTTCATATCCTTTGCTTGAATATTATTATCACCTATCTCGTAGTGTGGCATAAAAGTTACAGCAATTAATACTATATTGGTTATTTCTAGTAGCTATGAAAAGGATGATGACTTTCCGAATTTAATCCTAATATTATTTAAGTTTTTGATTGATAAATCCGTAAAAAATTGTTATGATGAGTAGTTACAACGTTGAAGTATACATACATATTTCCTTTAATGTACAATAATACAATCATTCTTTTAAAAACAGTAGAATTGGAGATTAAAATTTGGACTTTCGAAAATCAATTCGATTTTGATGATACAATTTTCCAAATTAGAAGGTAATAATAATTTGTAATCATAATCTATAAATAATATTGCGATATCTTCATTTAATATAAAGTTATTAAAGTTTTAAGAAACAACGACTTTTATAAGCACTACGTGTTCAGTGATGTGTGTAAACAACGCGGACGAAGTCGCGGGTATCAGCTAGCTAATAACAAAAAATTACACTTACGCAATTGAGCGCATCTAGCGATTATAATTTCTTTATATCTATGTTTCTTTGTCATGGGGTTGCCGGTGAAATTCACGTCGACCAAACAAAGTAGAGTGCAGATATGATCTGCTACAACCTAAATACGATGACAATAATTAGTTCCAAATCACTTAAAAATAATTTATTTTTAATTAGTTAAAACTGAAGTGACAAACTTAAAGTCCACCTGATTGTAAGTGGCTACTGCAGTCCATGGTCACCTACAGCCAACTTAAAATAAAAAAAGGAACAGATGCGGTATTCTTTCTTCAGTGGCAGTCGGGAAAAAAATAAAATTAGCCTAAAGGTAACATACGACATTCCACTGATGGGCATAAAAATCCCCCATTTCTAAGAGAGTTTATGCGGCACGAAAAAGTCAGTCCAGTGCGTATTGGCTAACTTAATATTCTTAGCTTTAAAACGCCAATAAGTTCATATAAGTAAAAATTTCATAGTTTTAGGATATTGTCTGATGTGACCTTTTTATCTAGCTTTCGCTAATACTAAGGACAATAATATAATTAAAAAAGTTTAAATATAAAGAACTTAAATTCCTAACACATTAAGGTCAAAATATGCAATATTTTTTCTATCATTCTTATGGATTAAGTTATAGCGAATTATTTTGCATGACCATTATGATATATTTTCTGCTGAGTTCCTTGAATAATGTTGTTTAGTTTCATATTTGTAAGCCGTAACATAGTAAGGATCAGAATAACTATAAAAAAATTATATTGATTACTTATATTAAGGTGAAAGCTACAGGGTGGCCCGCGAAATTCAAATTTCTTGCGTTTTTTGGAATTTGCAGGTTAGGGGCCAAGTTGAATGTTTAATAAAATATGATTCGCGACCGTAACGAGTATGTGTTTATAGAATTATTATCATTAAAATCACCAATAAAACCCTCTAAGTTCATATAATCCCTTTGAATGAATTTTTCTGGAAATAGCCATACATTGGAATTATACAAACATAGACGGTTGTATAGATGATTATAATAATTATAATTCTATAAATACGTACTCGTTACGGTCGCGAATCATATTTTGTTAAACGTACAATCTGACACTGACCGGCAAATTGCAAAAAAACGTAAGAAAATTTGAATTTCGCGGGCTGCCCTGGCGCTTCCACCTTAACACAAATACTTAGGATTTTATCGTGTAAAGTGAGTCACTATACACGATAATATCCCAAGTATTTGTGATTTTGTGATGTGTAGGTCAATATTAGTGACCGTAACTCAGATATCTGTGACCGTATACTTAGCACCCGAGACGTCGAGAATACAAAAGTTAATAAATTCCCTAAAATTAGTTTTATTTTTCATGACATGACAATTTCATGACAGAAAACTCGCTTACTGATTTTTATTCTGAACTGGGATTCGAATTCCGGGACATGATCAGCAGTCTCACTTACGACCATTACACATACAAGGCTGTTCTATACTCGTATAGACAACTTTGCATTACTATATGCTTAAACACTTCAGCGCTTTGATATACCGACAGTCAGTCTGACTCCATGCCTCAAGTAATCAAAGGCTCTTTCATAGTTTTTATGTGAGCAGGACAAAGTAGCAGATAGTACTTCTTTAGAATAAGCGTAAGTTTTATGTTTTTATGTAATATACTATATTATAAAAGAAAACTATTAGGCATCATGGAAGTGTTTGATATACATAATTTGCACGTAAGCAAATACCAATCCGGAACAATTATTAGTCGTCCATTAGCGATCAGCCCGGCTTTGCACGGTTGATTTCTGGATCTTGACAACAACGCCACCTACCGGGTCCAAGTGTGAATCTAAACCATTCTCTAATCAACTTTATCACACACATAAAATCGTCAATATCGGTCCAGCCGTTTAGGCGGAGTTCAGCCACATACATTCAGATAGAAGAACTATAAGATATATTATATGTAAGCGAAAGAGAATCATCCCAGATGCACTCATGATGGATGGCGCAAATATGCGTACTCTACAATATAAAGTACCAGAAAATATAATAAACAAAACGTTAGCAATTCGTCGCAAATATATGGTACGCTTTCCCATTGATGTTAATTTCAATAATCTGTTGTAATCTGCAAACAACAACGGTTATCACGTTACCACAGATACGACGCTACGCTAGAGTTAAACCTTTTGATCGTTTACCCTTGATCTGGCCAGTATTTTATAGTCATGCCTACATATCATATACATGTATTATACATATATATCTTTCTTTCAACTAGTTCTGTCTATTGATGAAAACTGTATTAAAATCTGTTGCGTAGTTTAAAAGATCTAAGCATACAGACGGCGGGAAGCGACTTTGTTTTATACTATGTAGAGATTCAAACACTTGTTCCGTACGAGATTCAAGCCCGTGGCCCCGAAGCGCCGCAACCATACACTTGGCCACTACGCTACCGAACCGTATATTTTACACACTTGTCCCTAAAATACCACATTTCTCATATTAATAGTTGTGAACTCTAAAATATTGCCTGTAAGTATTTAAAACTTACCTCAACATCATCTAACTTATTTTTCACTGCAATTAAGACTTCCAAGCGTCTTAACGGTTTTATCCATGATATATCCGTTATTTTATTTTCGGACACATTTAATATTCTTAATGTTGCCTGAAATTATAAATTTACGCTCTTATTATGTACACATTATTTACAGTAAGATATTAACTACTGGAGATTGGTAGATTTAATAATAAAGATGATGTCCTACAGACCGAAAATCTGTCACAGCAGCCGGTCTCGACGGAGACTAGCCATCAGTGCAGGGCAGGAAAGTGCCTTAGTGCATGCGCAAGCACATTATGTGCACTCTCTGCTCCCTAATTCTCAGTCCGATGGTACGGTAATCCAACACGACCGGAGACAGATGAGGCGCAGAGCCGAGGAACGGGGGTGAATCTCTGCCAGCTTCCTGACTCCAGGCTGCTACCGAGATTTTCATAACAAAAAATCCAATTAATTTGAAATGATTTCAGCCTGACCCGGGATTCAAAATGATTAGCAATCGAGTTTACGACCACTACCCAACGACGTAGTCACATTTTTTTTTTATATAATAAGGGTGTCAAACGAGCACATAATCCACCTGATGGTAAGTGGATGCTGTGGTACATAGACATCTACATCTATGTTCGTTTGCGAATTAAAATGCAGATGCGTTGTCAGCTGTGAAGACTAAGTTAGAATACTTCTTTTCCAGTAAAATGTGTCTCCGGTTCTACTTCACTCACCATACGAAACACAGCATCATTAAGCTGCTATTTTACGCTGGTATTCTGTAAGAGAGTGGCCATTCCCCGGTCGAGCCGACCCATTCATGCTACAACTATACTATTATAGCTGCAGCATGGCTAACGATATTATCAATTCAATATTTCCTCCAACAATGTACTAAATAATCAGTGGAACGACTCCGGTAACTGAAAGCTCTAAAAAGGATTGCATCTCATACGTTTACGTAAAAACAGACTTACCCCAATAGACACCATTGTCCGTGGTTCAAAACATAATGGGTCTGGACTGTCAACATTCTGTTTCTCTATGTACAATTCCTCTAGATATTTTAAGCCCATTAAATTCTCCACAACACTGATACAATTGCAGCCTAGATATAATTTCTTGAGTTTCGTCAATTTATCTAAACCTTCGATTTTCGTTATTTTGTTCCATTGTAAGTGCAGGTGTGTTAAATTGTACATTTCGTCTAAATTTTCTATTTTATTTATGTAGTTGTTGTGATAGTAGGCATATATTATGTGATTTGGGTACTTAGGCTTCGGCTGTATGCAGAAGAAATTAATAATGTAGTAAAGGTAATATGATCACCCGGACATCCGATTAAATTGGTCACTTTCTTAAAACTCAAAAATTACAGCCTTGTTTGTATAGTTGGTTCTGTGATACGATTGCTCTTTATGAGTCAATCAAATAATAAAGGGTGAAAAGGGCAATGCTTTATTGACGCCATTTTGACAGTTGGGAATATAGTAACAATTTTAGTTGATTTTACTATTGTGTAGTGTAGTTAGTTTTTATAAGTTGACTAGCTCGCCAAGCAGACGTTCTTCTGCTCTCTCCGACGACCTTTTGTCCTATAAAGAATCCTTAAATTCGTAATAAAAAATATTGAGGGTCAATTATCGGGATAAAAACTATCCTATCTCTCAAGTTGGACCAAACTGAACGCAGTGTGCAAAATTTTATTGAAATCAGTTCAGTAGCTTAGGAGTTCATCGCGGGCAAACAACGTGACACGTAATTTTTATATATAAAGATTTTTCAAAGTGTTCCTAATTATTGGCAAAGCTTGTTTGCTATTTTTTTTTTCTTAATATACATATGTATTAGTTGTAGTATACGACTTTGTGTTTTTGTGTCTGTCTTTCTCCTAGTTTTGGTTTTATAGAACGACAAAGCTTAAGGTGACCATATTACCCTCACGTATATTATCTTGCTATTAATGCAAACATACAAATATTAAAAAAGGTCAGTCAGTAGTTCTAGATAAAATTTTCCCCAAATATGATTTTGTGTAGTTTGCTACGAATTATTTTCCCCAGATCCACATCATAAGTGTATTTGAGGGTTCCGTGGTGCGAAAGCTTAGTATTGAGTTGTATTGCTGAGGGCCACACGCGTTCAAATACCGCACAGAATGTGAGGATGTTTTTTTTTTAATTGAAAAAGACAGTATTTTGTGTACTACATATACGTATGTGGCCACCCCCAGGCAGATCAGCAAAATGTGGGTCGTTGTTTCCCTCCCCTCACGCACGCCCGATATGGGAACTATGTGTAACAACTACGTTAAACAGTTGTTTCTAATAAGAACCTTATGGCACTAATTACTACCCAAATCTGAAGTTTATTCAGCCACATTAGAGCCTTGGAGATTTAAGTTTCTGAGGGTAAAGTTCATTACGAATCGTCTCGCACGCAGACTCGACGACTTCCAGCCTCCCGAACAAGCCGTTATCCGTAAAGGCTTTAGTAGGATAGACCACATACATACTCTTCGGCAAATTGTACAGAAGAAGGAAGAGTACAATCTGCTACTTTGCTTTGCGTATGTGGACTATGAGAAAGCCTTTGATTCCGTCGAAATTTGGGCGGTGCTGCAGTCGCTTCAGCGGTGCCAAGTTGACTGTCGGTATATCGAAGTGCTGAAGTGTTTGTACAGTAGGGCTACGATGGCTATTCGAGTCCAGAACCAGAGTACGAAAACTATTCTACTTTTTTTTATAGAAGAGGGGGCAAACGAGCATGCGGCTCACCTGATCGTAAGTGACTACCGCCGCCCATGAAGAATCGCAACACCAGGGGAATTGCAGATGCGTTACCGGCCTTTTAAAAAGGATTAGGCTCTTTTCTTGAAGGTCCCTAAGTCGTATCGGTCCGGAAAAATCGCTGGTGGTAATCGATACCACAAGGAAGTAGTGCGAGGAAGAAGACATCTTCTAAATCGCACAGTGGTGGACCGCCAATCATCCAGGTGGTATGGATGGTAACGCAAGTTTTGTCGCGAATTGTGCGGCTGGGATTAGTCCGAACAATTCCTCAGAGCACTCCCGGTGGTAAATGCGATAAAATACGCAAAGAGACGCAACATCTCTACGCAGTGACAGTGTATCGAGCCGATCAGAAAGAACTCGGTCGTCGACGATTCGAACCGCTCTGCGCTGGATGCGGTCAAGTGGAAGGAGCTGGCACTGGGGTGCCCCGGCCCAGAGATGAGAACAGTATTCCATGTGAGGCCGGATTTGCGCTTTGTAAAGATGCAAGCGATGTGCCGGCATGAAATACTGTCTCGCTCTGTTGAGCACGCCAAGCTTTTTAGAGGCCAGTTTGGCGTTCCCTTCCAAGTGACCACAAAACTGCACACTATTCGATATATCGACGCCGAGGATTCCGATGCTAGCTGAGGCAGCAAGGGGAGTGCCTTGAAACTGAGGAGATACGACAAAGGGGTTCTTTTTAGCGGTAAACGCGCAAACTTGTGTCTTCTGGGGATTGAACTGGACTAGATTTAGTCGCCCCCAATCCGAGACTTTGTTCAGCAAAGACTCGACTTCAAACACAAGTTTGTCCCGGTACTCGGCGACGTTTAATGAACGACGAAATTTTGGCACGGCCGGTATATAAGGCATCACCAGTGCTGTCGTCTGCATAGCAATGAATGTTACTAGTTTGTAACATATCATTGATATGCAGAAGAAACAGCGTTGGTGATAGCACGCAGCCTTGTGGAACACCAGCGTTGATTGGCTTGAAATCAGAGCATGCTCCGTTTACTTCGACATTGATGCTCCGATCAGCAAGGAAACTGGTGATCCATTTGCACAATTTCTCGGGAAGCCCATAGGAAGGAAGCTTCGAAAGAAGCGCTTTGTGCCAGACCCGATCGAAGGCCTTCGCTATGTCCAAACTAACGGCCAATGCCTCCCCCTTGAACTCTACTGCCTCCGCCCATCTATGAGTCAGGTAGACCAGAAGATCACCAGCTGATCGAGCCCGACGAAAACCGTACTGGCGGTCACTAATCAGCTGGTGATCCACAAGGTACCTCATGAGCTGGCAGTTTATAATGGATTCCATTATTTTGGAGAACAAGGAGGTGATGGCGATAGGCCTGTAGTTGGAGGGGTGTGAGCGGTCGCCTTTTTTAGGGATCGGGTGGACCAAAGCTGTCTTCCATGAATTCAGGACTACGCCTTGTGAGTAGGAGTACCGGAAAACACGCGTTAAAACCAGTGCCAACTCCGGAGCACACGTCTTCAGCACAATGGGAGGGACTCCATCAGGCCCACACGACTTGCTGACGTCCAGGGAGAAGATTGCTTTGCGAACCGAGCGCTGTGTAATTCGCACATCCGGCATGGAACACTCACACCGCGGGATGGTCGGCGGTGTATTTTCCCCGTCATCTAGAGTCGAGTTGGACGCAAAGAGAGAGCTTAAAAGATCGGCTATTCTCCTTTGCGACATGGGCCAGTGAGTCATCTTCTCTGTGCAGGGATGGAAGAGATGGCTGACAGAAGTTCCCTTGGACAGCCTTGGCGAGAGACGGCGAACAGAAGGCGAACTAGCTTCTCGCCAATTCTGCCGATGTGCTCAGACCTTGCCTTGGCAATGACGCTTTTGAAGGACCTGGAGGCGGAATCATACTTCTTTTTAAGTGCGCTGGTGTTTACATCCCGAGACGATGATGCGTCAGCCCAGGCCCGGTAGCACTCCTGCTTATAGCGTGATGCTATTTTACAGGAGCGACCAAACCATGGCTGGGATTCGCCTCCAATGGGCACCACAGAGGATGGCATAAAAAGTCCTGAAGTACCACATCAGCAACAGAATCGGCAACAACGCTAGGATCTTCCGGCGAGAAGCAAACCCGCCCCCAAGGGTAGGATGCAAAAAAAGACCGCATCCCGTCCCAATCTGTCAACTGCAGAGAAGTGTAAGACAGATGACGTTATATTCCCGAAACTATATATATCTGCATTTTGATTTGTAAAAGAGGATAGATGTAGATGTCTATGGGCCGCAGCAACCACTTACCATCAGGTGAACTGTGTGCTCGTTTGTCACCCTTATCCTTTAAAAAAAACTCTTCACCACTGCATTGGAAGACGTTTTCAAGCTACTGGACTGCAAAGGATACGATTTGCCGACGATATAGTCCTTATGGCAGAATCGCTGAAGGACCTAAGCACTATGCTCAATGACCTCAATAGTGTCTCCCAACGGATAGGTCCAAAGACGAGCATGGACAAAACAATGATAATGTGTAATGTCCATGTCACACCTATGCCGGTAGTTGTTGGGAGCACTAAGCTCGAAGTTGTTGACGAGTATGTTTACCTGGGACAAATAGTCCGACTAGGTAAGTCCAACTTTGACCGAGAGTTCAATCGACGGATTCAACTCGGCTGGACAGCTTTCGGCAAATTACGACACATCATCTTCTAGTCAGGTATACTTCAAAATCTGAAAACGAAATTGTACAACAAGTGCGTGTTGCCCGTGATGACTTATGGATCTGAGACGTGGTCCTTCGCTGCTGGCCCTATCAGGACGCTCAAAGTCGCTCAGCGAGAAAGTCGCTCAGCGAGCTATGGAGAGAGCTATGCTCGGGGTTTCTCTGCGTGATAAACTTAGAAATGAAGATATCCGTAGTAGAACCAGAGTAACCAACATAGCCCAACGGATTAGTAAGCTGAAGTGGTAATGGGTCGGCCATATAGCTCGGAGAAACGACAGCCGATGGAGAAAAAAGATTCTCGAGTGGCAGCCTCGTACCGGTAGAGGAAGTTTAGGACGACCCCCCACTAGATGGAGTGACGATCTGGGAAGATATGCAGAAAGTCGATGGATGCAGGTGGCTCAGGACCGTGCTTTGTGGCATTCCGTGGGGAAGGTCTAAGTTCAGCAGTGAACTTGTGAAAGACTGTAGTGATGATGAAGATGATGAGGGTAAAGTCACATTTGTCTGTCTGTATTCTTTATGTCTTGTACGAAGCTACATACGTATAACGTATAAGTAGTTAAGTACATATTTTTTTTATTTGGATTTTTATGGATCATCACTTTCCTATCCGTTTAACGCAGGCAGTACTCGTTAGTGCACACGGCATAACATTATTTAATCTGTGCCACAGCACTAGCCCTGAGTTTATTACACGGAATATATTTTATATTCCGTAATTTATTACCCCGCTAGCCTAGACTAGTACTACTTCCGTACGTACTTCTTTACAATACAATACAATATTTTAATTTTACCACTTGTTTTTTCTTATTACTATAAATTAAATCTAAAAAATAAAGTACTATATCTAACCCTAATTATTTTTAAATTAACTTACAATTGTAGTGATGCATTTCTCAAACATATACAAATGTGTCCGCCTTTTGCTTGCGATTATACTTTTTCGATTCTTTAATTTTTTTGCCTCTCTGCGAAGATCTTCTTCATTTTGTTTTAAATTGTTTAATTTTATTACGCAATCCATTACTCCATTCCAACTTTTATATTATATGTTAATAGAAATGAGAAAAGGGATAGGTACAAATATTGTTATTGTTTTTATTGATCAAATAAATTCGAAAATCGAAAATGGCGCACTTCAAACACCGAAGTTGCCAGTGATGAATTTCTTATTTTTCTGTCTTATTTTGATTCAAGCAAGGAATGCTTTCTCATTCAGGCTATATAAGTACACATTATAAACCTTAAATGTAGCTAAGTAGTATTTTTTTTTAAATTGTCTTATGTATTAGACACGTACTTCAAGGAGAAGTTTGCGGGGCAAAAATAAACAATCAATACTCTCAGAATTTCTCCTATATTATGGAAGCATATTAGAGTGACCTAAATACATACATATTTTTTTAAGGACGTAGTTACATTTTTGACGTGCTCGAATTTAGATATTTGAATTGAAAGCTGACATACGCATGCTTAAATTGTAACAGTTTTCCGATATATTTTTTATATTATACCTAACTAAAATTGATACTTGCTCAGACCAACAAAGGAAGAAAGGCGGAGCGCTGCGTACATTTTAATTGAAGCTGAAACCAAGCGCAACTCATTGACATGCACTCTCGCATAAATCCTTTTCTTTTTTTTTATCAACCCGTAAATGTTTACTGATGGATGCACCTAAAACCATGTTAATGGTTGCAAATGATTTTAAATGCATACATGTATATGAGTGCGTGTTCTTGCAATAAAGTGAACATAGTTTTGGCTTTGGTCCTTGCATCCCTTGAAATGAACGCAGCAATGCAATTAATTTTTTAACCCACAGGACTTCTTTACTGTGCTGGTCACCAATTATCACAGCGTTAGAGGAAGCATCGTGGCTATCATTGGTATTCCTTGGATGACATATTTCCGATGAGTTTTACAAGTTGTGTCTCGCCAGCAACGCAAAGTCGGGAATTTGCATTTGGAAAAATCCAAAATTAGCGACCTTTTAGGTGCTAATTAGGTGCCAAGTTTAAAAATTAGGTGCTCTAAAATTTTCACCGCAACGAACGATTGAAATTTGCGTTGCTAACAAAACGTATCGCTAGCAACGCAATGAAGTTATTAGATATACGATAAATATTAATAGCAAAGAATTAAGTGCTAATTAGGTGCTGCAAGTATAGGCAATGACAAGGCGCCCCTAATAAAAATAAAGTCGTTATTCAGAACAAAGCAGGTGCAAAATTCAGTTTTTCTGAAAATCAGAATAGGATCAAAAATGGCTTTTTAGGTGCTAATTAAGTACCAAATTTAAAAATTTTTTGCTCTAAAATTTTCACTGCAACGAGCGATTGAAATTTGCGTTGCTGGCAAAAGGTATCGCTAGAAACGCAGTGACGTCGATTCAACTGCGCAACTAGATATAGTCAAGTGAGGAGTCCGGCTGCAATTAGTTTGTAAATACAACAGATGTTTATTGTTAAAAATAATACAGTGTGAGAGAGCGGATTTTCAACTTGCTTTCTTGCTTACGCAATTGATCATTATCCGCAATAAAACAACGCAATGCACTATACATTCAGTATAGAGCAATCACAGTTCAACCATACCGTAATATTATGTTCCCGTCACAATAACACACTAGTGTAACGTGAAGGACGTTATTATATGATAACACCAAAGTATGCAAATAACAGCGACACTACTCATATCAATGTAACACAGAGCAGCCGCTCAGCAACACCACCCTTCTTGCCTGCACCAGAAGAACCACCACCACGGACAGAACCACGATACTCTCTTAGCACTCGTAGAATAACTTAGACGGAATCTCTCGCGTACGGTGCTTACAGTAAACTTTATATTATACAAAAGAGTGGGTGTTTCTCGATATACCCTCAATTCCACCTTGCCACCGTCTATATGACGCTCCGCTAGAGTAGCGCAATTTCTCGCTCACTCTCGATCCGACCGGTATTTCATAGACGCGACGACAAGTTTTATTGTACGGACCGCGTGGACTTATGCTTTGAAAAAAGGGAACGCCTGTAAATGGCTATTATCCCACGATCCGCCGGTGGCCTGTGTTGCTCTATGTTGTAGGTTTTTTTAATCCGCTCAGGGGCGTAGAGAAATTATTGTCATAAGCTCTCTACTAGGTTAAGCCATCGTTAATATATTATCTCAAGACGAAGTGAAATGTGACGCATCAGTATATTGTGAAGACTTTTGTAAAATATAAATGTAAAATACACACTAGGCTGTATGGTATAGACCTTTACCTGTATTAATTGGAAAATCGCCTAGTCGCCTACTCGCAGTGTGACCATATGTGGCAGGTTCCTGCCATTTTGGCAGGATTGGCCTCTTATTTTAGCCTGTGGCATGATCGGTTGACGTTTTATAAAACCTGGCAGTATTTGGCATTATTGGGGTATTAAAAATATATTTCATCATGGCAACTTAAAATGATGAAAATGGTAACCCCTAGATACTTCGCCAGCATGTTGGGAATTTCCCTGTATTTCTCGGTTTCTCGTATTATGCTTGTATCACATTCAATAAACAACTTTAAAAAAAATTGTGTATAAAGTTGATAATCTTAACATGAGTTGTTTAATATTTCAATCAGCCATAAAAGAGACGTACTTTAGTTAGGTATAGAATTAGATTTCACTATCACCATAGGTGGCGGTGATGAACCGAAAATAAGACAGGGCGTTTAGAGCGAAGTGGAAGCAAGATCTTTTATTTCCATCATAGATCTCAAAAGCTAAAGATGATCCAGACTGTGTAACTGCAAATTGGCTAGTAAACATTAACAAAATATGAGTGGATTCAGCATGCGAAAGAATATTCTCTAAAATAAATTTAATTAAGACAAAAACACGAAACAGATTTATAAACTAACATGTAGTGTATATCTTGAACGTTAAACAATCATGGCGATTGCATTGCATTCGAACCAACGAAAGATATGTTTAATTTTAATTTAAAACATACAGCATTTATATGTGTATTTTGACTTTTATTAGTTTAATACAATGTTAAATAAAGTTGGCAGTATTTAGGCATTTTTAATTACAGATTTTGGCAGGATTTGGCAGGTTTTTTAACAAAGTGTGGCAGGATCTGTGTTTTAAAGATGGTCACACTGCCTACTCGCCTACTTTATAATTAAAGAAAACGTCAAATCAAAATCAAGCAAATATTGTTTTTGACCCACAAGAACATAATATTAACAACAAACAAATATGTATGTACTAAGAAATTAGTTTTCTTCTAAAGTAAGAATTTGTTAATTATTGCGTCAATCGTATAGAAAATTATTAAAGAAGTCTTTAGTTTTTCATAACCATTCACGCTCCAGGTAAATTACTTTTGTGATCATATGTTTCAATTATTTCTTTCTACTGTTGATTCGTTTTAATTGTTCTAAAGTTGTGTAGCTTCTTGCAAATTCTGTTCAAAAATTATTAAAAAAATTATAAACATTTAATTTTCTCAGAAAATATATAATTGTTTTGTCTCTTATGTATTTTTCAGCAAAATGGGTGAACGATATAATATTCACAGCCAGTTAGAGCATCTTCAAAGTAAATACATTGGAACCGGGCATGCTGATACCACCAAGTATGAGTGGTTAACTAACCAACATCGAGATTCTTGCTGCAGTTACATGGGTCATCCCGATTTACTAAGCTACTTTGCAATTGTAGAAAATGAATCTAAGGCACGTGTTAAGTTCAACCTAATGGAGAGAATGTTACAACCCTGTGGACCACCCCCAGAGAAACCAGAAGATTAAAAATGTATAAGTTGAAACTGACAGTTTAACTTATAATATACTTTTTTCTAGCAAGTAAATAATAAACATTTTCATTCAATTCATCATTAATAAATAATTAAATAATATAGTACATATAAACATTATAAAATATTTTTTATTAATAATTAGACTATAAAATATTTTTATTCCTTCATCAGCCTGTAAAAGTCCACAGCTGAACATAAACCTCTCCTAGTGCATGGATTTGTCTTTATTGGTAGGTGAAGAGACATAGACATAGGTGAGATATCTTATCTCACATCTTTGATATTGTGAGATATCTTGCCTATTTCGTCTATCATGTAGGCACACCATTTGCAACTTTACAAGGTGCAGGTTCGGTCTCACATGGAATACTCTTCCCATCTCTGGGCAGAGGCTCACCAGTGCCAGCTCCTTCCACTTGATCGCATCCAACACAGAGCGGTTTGAATCGTCAACGAGCGAGTTCTTTCCGATTGACTTGACTCACTGGCACTGTATAGAGATGCTGCATCTCTTTGCGTATTTTATCACATCTATTACAGGAAGTGTCCTGAGGAATTGTTAATATCTGGATGATTGGCGGTCCATCACTGTGCGACTTAGAAGAAGTTTTCTTCCTTGCACAACTTCCTTGTGGAATTGATTACCACCAGCACACACTTTTTCTGGACCGATAGGACTTAGGGACCTTCAGAAAAGAGCAATGCATCTACAATTCCTCTGGTGTTGCAGTTGTTCATGGGCGGCAGTAGTCACTTACCATCAGGTGAGCCGCATGCTCGTTTGCCCCCTCTCCTATAAATAAATAATTAATCTTTTTTGCCTGTCTGGTTTTTTACTCCTAGTGTAAACAAGATGGTTATATTTCCACGCAAAATATGCGTTTAGGTGTGGAGTTGCGGTAAACAGCCTGTTTATTCAATGGTTATATTGCTATCTATCAGAAGCCCCAAGACCTTTAGGCATATCCCTTAATTGAATCTTAAAATACCCACTGGGGTGATAGATTCTCTTCAAATATTTTTAATATGTTTGTAGTAAAACAAATTACTTTGTACCACTTTGTATTTACTTGATAAACTAATCACAGTAATTATATTTCACTTATAATTACACTTCACTTAAAGTACACACAGCTACTAGCAGAGTGAACTCACAACTGAACTACCACTAAGATATAGCAGTTCCTTTTATAGTATACAAAGCTGTTACGATTACCCACAAATTTTATTATTAAATTTGAAGAATAAGTACACCTAATATAATTTATAATTTATTATATAAGTGCCCTTGATTTAAAATCCATTGGTAACAATATGTGTTTATCTATTGATTTGTGACTTTGTAAACAATTTTAGTGCCGTGTAGTGTCGGTCAAGAATATCCACTACCCCATATCCTCCCGTGGGTGTCGTAAAAGGCGACAAAGGGAAACAGGCAGGAGATGGGCAGCAGCATCTTCCTGATAATAGCCAAAATTACAATAAAAAAACTGCGGTTGCCAACCCGCTCGCCAAGCGTGGAAACTATGGCAAATACCCCCCAATGATTAAAGCAACAAACAGACGGCCCCCAGTCCCCGGCGGCCCCGCTATACGATTTTGTATCGATTGCTGGAAGCAAAGAAACTGTGGGTATGGGATTCGTTAGAGCAAGTTGCCTTTGATAAAGCTAAGGATTTGTTGTCATCTGATTTAACCTTAGTTGGATATGACTTGAAAGAGAATTATTGTTTATCTGTGATGCGTCTGACTATGGTGTGGGTGCAATAATTGCCCATGTGATGGAAGATGGGTCAGAACGACCAGTAATGATGGCCTCCAGAACATTACAACCCCACTAGCGACGGTATGGACAGATTGATAAAGAAGCTTTAGCGATAATATTTGGGGTTACAAAATTTCATAAATTTTTACTAGGAAGGAAGTTTTGTATCATTACAGATCATAAGCCACTAATTGGATTGTTTAATCCGAAGAAACCTATTCCGGGTCAGATTTCATCCAGAATGTTGCGATGGTCTCTGAAATTGGTGTGTTATGAATATGACATAAAATACAGACCTGGAAAAGGCATTGGTAATGCAGATGCTCTCAGCCGATGGACTTCTGTTAACGCAGCTGAAGCGCGAGGGATGGGTTCGTTAGCGGATGTGCTACTATTAGAGGAACCTCCCTCTGGATTAAACTTGGATGCAGCGAAAATTGCTGCTGAAACTAAAAAAGACCCGGTACTACAAAAGGTTTTATTTCATGTGCTACATGGTTGGACTGGCAAAAATACTGACCCCACACTCCAGCCGTATTGGACGCGAAGAGAGGCTCTTTCACATAATAAAGAGTGTTTATTGTGGTGTAACAGAGTCATTATACCCGCTTCTTTACAACAGCAGGTATTAAAGGTATTGCATGCACCGCATGTTGGAATCGTCCAGACGAAAGCTTATGCTAGAGGATACGTATGGTGGGTCGGTATGGACGCTCGGATAGAGGCCACAGTGACTGTTTGTGAGTTGTGTCAAGCCGTGAGAAACAATCCACCAAGAGATCCGCACACATGGATTTTACCTGACAAACCATGGAGTCGTGTCCATGTTGATTTTGCACGACCATTTCAAGGGAAGACTTTTTTGTAATGATTGACAGCTATAGCAAATGGTTTGAGGCAGATATTTTATCAAATATGAGTAGTGAAGCCCTAATAGCTAGTTGTCGCAGGATTTTTGCTTCGCAGGGATTGCCAGAAAAATTAATTTCGGACAACGGCAGAGCCTTTAGCTCAAGGGAATTTAATAATTTCCTACAAAACAACGGCATCGAACACTTGTAGTCACCTCCATATCACCCGGCGACGAATGGACAAATCGAACGGGCGATACAGACCTTCAAGAACAAGCTCAAGAAAATGTCTGATGCATGGGTATTATGGACTGAGAAACTACCTAGAGTTTTATACTCGCTCAGAACGGTGCCGAATCACCTCGGTAAAACTCCTGTAGAGATGTTGAATGGACGTAAATATAGAACTGCGGTGTCGGCGCTACATCCGGATAGTGGACCAGAGCGCTCTGAGCGACAGCTGGAAGAGGTGGCGCAGCGGGTGCCCGGTCGAGCCTTCGCTCTCAACCAGCCCGTGCTAGTACGTGCCTATGGGCCAGGAGAGAAGTGGCGACACGCCACCATTGAGTATGTCGAGGGTCCTGGTTGTTATATGGTGAGAACGGAAGATGGACTGCTAATTCGCCGACATGTTGACCAAATACTGGCGCGATCCACGGCCGTAACCGAGAACCAGACCTCTGATGCCCTGCCAATACCTCAATTACGTAGAAGATCAAATTCGTCTTCTGGGTCTGACCCACCAATACAAATACCACCACCAGAAATGTGGCCTGAAATTATTGGCATACCAAGTACTGACTAAACTATAATTGCAAATTGGCAAGAAGCTGTGGTTTATTAGTGATTAGAAACAAATAATGAAAAACAATAATTAAAATGATTTATTTTAACTTTAGGCCTAAATTATGATTGTAACCGTGTTATTGGGATAGAAAGGTATTATGTTATGTATTGATAATGTTGAGGGTAAAATTGTAATATCTGTGTAAGGTAGATTTGATTAAATGAGTTTGTTTTGCTACTTGATCTGGCGTGTATCTACCTACAAAGTCTAATACCCAAAGAAACTTCATCCACATAACTTTCTCTCTAACAATATAACCTTCTCTATAGCAACGTCAAGTACTCATGCAGTGAATGATCACGTCTCAGTTCATATGTCATCACTGGCAAATCGCACTGGTTTTCAAGTTTTGAGGTATACATGACGAGATACGTAATCTCCCGGACGATTCCCAGCAGAGTTGAATCTGCCGATTGACCCTTCCGTCGACGTTGGATTTATCTAGTCGGACAGTTAGTCCTAGGTGAACATCTCACTTCACAAGTCCACTGCTGAACATAGGCCTCCCCCAAGGAACGCCACAAAGCATGGTCCCGTACCACCTGCATCCATTGACTTCCTACATGTCTTACCAGGTCGTCACTCCATCTAGTGGGAGGACGCCCTACACTTCGCCTGCCACTCGAGAACCTTTCTTCCTCATCGGTTGTCGGTTCTTCGAGCTATATGGTCGGCCCAATGCCACTTCAGCTTACTAATCCGTTGGGCTATGTCGGTTACTCTGGTTCTACTGCGGATATCCTCGTATTTAAGTCTATCAAACAGAGAAACCCTTAGGATAGCCCTCTCCAAGGTCGCTGAGCGACTTTGAGCTTCCTCATACGGCCAGCAGTGAAGAACCACGTCTCTGATCTATAGGTCATATGTGGCAACATGCACTGGTTCTGCTGATTGCATGGGCTGTCCCCGTGTAGTGGCCGGTAAGTATAGCCCACTACCCCATATCTTCCCGTGGGTGTCGTAAGAGGCGACAGAAGGAAACTGAGGCAGAAGATGGGCAGCGGCATCTTTCTGATAACAATAAAAAAGCAATAAAAAACTGCGGTTGCCAACCCGCTCGCCAACAAATATGGCAATATACTCCCCATGAGCAACGACACAAAAACGGTCGCGCCCCCGGCGGCTCCACTATTCCTGGCTACCATGGTAACGGCGGGGCTGGGGGTGTTTAGAATCTCTTTTTTTTAAACGTTACCCCCACACTAGGATTTTCTCTTGCATTGTGGTGGCAGTTTACAAACATAAATTGCATGTGGACAAACATCCAGACCCGGAACAATTATTTGTAGGCCATACAAATACTTGTTCCGTGCGGGATTTGAACCCGCGGCCTCCAGCGCAACAACTCATTGCTAAGCCACTGCGCCGTCTCTGGTGGAGGTTCGGTTGCCACCTAAGACGACTCGACCTGGCAACATATAACGCACGCACCCTGAGGACTGACGAGAAAATCCTGGAGCTGGAAGAAGAGATAGATAAGTTGCGCTGGGATTTTATAGGATTATCTGAGGTCCAAAGAGAGCCTAGTGTTAATGGGAGACTTCAACGCAAAACTAGGCACAAGAGAGAATGGTGAGTTGAAAGTAGGGAAATTCTGAATAGGGCAACAGAAGCCAAGGCGCTAGCACCTGGATGACTATGGAGAAAGAGCGATTCTTTATGATGAACTCTTTCTTCCAAAAGCGACTCCACAGAAAGTGGAAGTTGTCAAGCCCCGACGGTTCAACAAAAAATGAGATTAACTTCATTATGATGATCAGACAACTGTTCAGTGCTGTCTCAGTGATCGCGAGGGTGAAAACTAAAAAAATAAGTATTTTTTTATAGGATAAGGGTGACAAACGAGCACACAGTCCACCTGATGGTAAGTGGTTGCTGCGGCCCATAGACATCTACATCTATCCTCTGTTACAAATCAAAATGCAGATGCGTTGTCACCCGTGAGGACTAAGATGGAATGCCTCATTTCCAGTAAAAAGGGCCTCCGGCCACCTGCACTCACCAAGCGAAACGCAGAGGTAAACCTCTACTTCACGCTGGTATTCTGTGAGGTCGTGGTACCACCCCGGTTCGAGCCGGCCCATCCGTGCGACAGCAAGAGCCGCCACGTGGCTCTACCACTGTTATAAGTAGATGGAGAGGTTGTTAAGGTATGGTCCATTTTTTTTGGTTTTGAGCATTTTGTGCACAACACAAGGATCTAGTTGGAAGGACTTTACCTTTTAATATGCTTTTATATAATGACTTGTTTTAAAAGGATACTAGTAAATTAGTTGTATGATTCTTTCAACTTTCATCTCTTATCTAGAATTACAAATATATAGTCTAAATCATAAGTAAAACTGAAGTAGCTGGCCATAATATGGAATGTCTAATCTAAATGTTAACCAATGGGGATCAGGACGTACCTAAGTAGTAGTCTCATGATAATTGCCAATCCATTTACAACATAGCGTTTTGCTTCATTGCTGCGAAATGTTATGGATCTAGAGATTTCTCAAATTCGTATAGATAAGATTTTATGCTATTAATCAACCTTATCGCGCATAGAAGTTGGTTCTGGATGTAGACTTACTACTCGCTATCAATAGCTGGTTCCAATTCACCAACTTACTCAATTATTTTAAATAAGTTGATTAGAGTAAAAAAATCTAAAATTTGGCCACTATCTGCCTTTTATAATGTAGGTATCCCCTAAAAAAAAATTTTGGGAAATCCCCGTTAAGGGGGTGAAATAGGTTGTTACAGTTTGTTTGAAACTTTTTACTTTATGCGACGATTGACTTGAAACTTACCAGAGATACTCTGTAAATAAAATAAATAAATTCGGATTTAGCGATTTTTATAATAACCCCTAACAGGGAAAACAGAGGCTGTTCAAATTTGTATAGAGAAAAATTAATTAATATTTTTTTAATTTGAAAATTGTATATATAATATATATTCAGGAATTTAAAATAATAAATTTTAATTTATTCGAAAATTTACCCCTAGGGCCTTTAGTTTGAAAAATATTTTATTAAGACGCACAGCTCAAAAACCTAGACATAGAAATCTGAAATTACGACAGAAGCTGCCTTTTATAACAAATGCACTAGGAGATTTTGCAAAATTTAACTTTTTTAAAATGGAGAATAGCATATTACTAGTCTTTATGATACTTTATTGCGCGATTGACTTAAGGATTAGTGAAATTACTCCGTAACTAAAATTAATAAAAACATATTTTGAGACATTTCAAAATAACCCTTTAGAAAAATTCATTAATGTATTTTTTCAAATTGTAGTGTTAATAAAAGAGGAAAAATGCTAATTGCTTAACAGCAAAACTCAGAGACCCGGGAGCTCAGAACCAGGATTTGTGTTTTGACCACTAGACTAAGGAGGTAATATAAAATAAAATAATTTAAGTCCTCCAGACTGAGTTTTGAACATGGCGTCCAGCCTCAATGCAGACTAGCCAGTGCAGGACAGGACTATAGTGCACATGAGCACTCTCTATTCGCTCACTCTCAGTCTGATGTGATGGTAATCCGACAAAATGGGGAAAGATCAGACGCAGGACTTATAGATTTTATGTCCTTTACGAGGTATGGGGGTGAAACACCGACACCTTCCCGACTCAAGGCTACTACTGAGAATATCTTGACAAAGAACCCATTAACTGATTTAGGCCTGACCTGGGAACCCAAGACCTCAGGATCAGCAACTGCATTTACGACCAATAGACCAATGAGGCAGTTGTTAGTTTAGTGGTCAACAATATAATACAAAATATAATAATAATATAGCCTCGGACACCAAGATGCAATTACATTATTTCATGAGGCAAAACCATTCCTTTTTCTTTCCTTCATAAGAAATTAGGCAATTAGATAAATAAAATTACAGAAATATTTCATCCAGCATTTAATAATGTTTTCCATTCCTCTAATTTTGCATTAAGAGCTGCTTCTCTTTCTTTTGCCTCTTCCTCAAGCTTCTTCTGTTGTTCTATATTTTGTACTACATTCATAACAAGCACTTGTTGAATGTTTGGGATAAGTTTAGCACATTCTTTTTCAAGAATATCCATTGCTTTTATGACACAGTCTGTATCCATAGAGCCTATTTGTATAAAATCTGAAACTTGTTTTAATTCTGATAGCATAGACATTGTTATGATACCATGATTCACATTCTCCGAATCTGGACTTATCATTGCTACATGCTCTTCTTCTTCAGTTGGGTCCACAAACATTTTGTCACCAATAATGGCAATTGAACTTGCAGTAATTATATCATACATTGGAACAGCAGCATCAGCTAGGGCTAATCCCGCAGCATTTATAGCAGCTGCCAAGCATGCTCCATCATGCTCAATAATATACACAAAGACATCAATCTGGAAGGAGCAAGAAAATTAGTAAACAAACCACATTAGCCGAAAAACTATAGTCTATACATGCTTATCTAAAGAAAAAACCAAACCTGATAATTTGGGAATAAATGCCTGCAGACTGCGGGCTCTAATGCTTGTCTCAATGCTACAGATAAAGATTTATCTTCAGCATCGGGAGCAGCTGGCCGTCGTTGACGCGAGCAGGAAAATGGCGCGAACTTTACCTCGCAAAATATTTGCCCGAGTTGACTAAAAGAGTTAAATATATATGAATGACATTAAAATATTTTATACAATATATTAAATTACTTAAATATTATACGTACCTGAACTCATTTTGATGAGGTATTTCTCTAGGATCGAAAACCGAACAAACGACTTTCGTTTTCTTAAGTTCTACATACGCTGATCCTTTCGCTTGGGAAATCATATCGGTTCTGGCAACTGAGAAATAGTTTGTTAATAAATAACTTATCATTCATTTACAATTTAGTTACAAGGTACACACAGGTAAACACATACAAAACATACACATGCTTCGTGCCTCATCCAGTGCGCGCCCATCTTTTCGTAGATTACTCTTATTAATTAATTCATTATGAAGTTCATCGTAAGATTTTAAGAAATCCTGCGTAAATCGTGTATAGGATACACTATCTTCTGGGCCATTAAATCTTCTAAAATCAAGGGGCATTTTATTTTCCTGAAGTAGGTAATAGCAATTAGCAATCACAACACAACATAAACACGTGACAACTGACAACTGACATTTTTTATAACTGACTTTACGGCTCTGGGTTCTAGCCCTTTTGAGTCCGAAGTTACAATGTATAATTATCTTTCATAGTACACTGCTTCATATTTTGTTGATGCGTCACATTATGCAGCCCTTGTGAAATTTTGACGGCAACTTGAGCCAACAGACAGTTGGCGATGGTATCTCAAGGCGCTTAAGTAGACAGACACCTTATCTTGGGAATCACGTCAGCATCAGAGCACTTGTTTCACCGTTTCCACTAATAGTTCACATGCGTAGACACTTAATACACAAAATCACACCATATTTACCTATCAAATTCCACTTCAAATCATTATTTAAACAATAATACAAGAGCAGCAGTCCGCCGCCGGTCAAGTTCCCGCCAAAACTTCCTGACAACCAACTGACATCGATCATCGACACATAGATAAATACATTGCGGCGAAATGGAATCGAAGCGAATTTTTGTAACGAAATCATACATAGTAAAATGAATTTTATGTTAATTGTATAACATACAAACTGGATATGATAAAAGAAGTCGCGCGACTTCTTTTTTGGCTCATATCTAGTTTGCACGTTACACAATTAACATAAAAAATATTTTACTATGTATAATAAAATTCGCTTCCATTCCATTCCGCCGCAATGTAATTGAGCCTTAAGCTTCGTCAAAACTGAGTTGAGGCGAATCACGCGCGGTACGCCGGACGCGATTCTGCGCGATTTGCTCGCTTTGCCCCAAGAATGAATTACTGACTCTGTGGCGTCGAGAAACTAGTATCACTAACTTGTGTTTGTTCCTAGTATTCAGAGTGTGTATCACTTTTTTTACTAAAATTACCTTTGTCTTTGCGAACATACATTAAATTTTCATAAATATACTCAGAGGCCAAAGTTAATTATTTATTTCTTTAAATTTTTCTCTAAGAGACTCTCACGGTTTATGGTTGTAAATAGCTCTTAAGGCCCTCTTCTGCAAAACAAAAATAATTACTAAACCAGCCGCATTTTGCTATGGAAATAACTGAAATAAACTAATTTAGCTGTCTCGACACTAGTGAGATCTCTAATATTTTTACAGCATAAGCTGCAGAGCATAGTCTTCTTGCTCGTTTGTATATATGGGGATACTGAAGCTTTGCGTCGAGAGTGATGCGAAGAAAAACAGAGGGTTCAACAGGGCTCAGTTCTTCCCCATTTAAAAACACATTGGTATATAAGGGGCCCAGAAAAAAACGGGGGTGGTGTAGGGGGACGATGGTTGATTTGATATTTCATTTAGATACTTTATATTTTAAAATTTATTAAAATTAAAACCTACCTACTACTCAATATCGAATAATTAGTTTATTTTTCTGCCTTGTATATAAACTAGAAATACTTAACATAGATTTCGTAGGATAGCCCGTACGCGGTACGCAATCAAGTTGTAACAAGTTTTTGTTAAATAACGCTATTGGTGCAATCCGGTAGCAATCGGCTGGTTCATCGATACTTGTCTTAACTTGCTCAGTACGATTGAGCGTCGAAAGTGATAAATGAGTTTGTGCGTATTTGTCTTATTCCTCTCGGTGTGTGCTGTATTTAAATCCTATATAAAAGCTCGTAATAATTTATATATTTTCATTAGTAGTTTTGCGCACAATCTTTAAACTAGTATGTAAGTTCAACACTTTATTTACATATTTGTAAAAACAAAGCCATGTCGGAAGTAAAAAAGAAGAGACAGCAATATAGTTCAGAATATATTAAATATGGATTCATAGAAAATTCGACAAATCCATCTTTGCCTTTGTGCCTTCTTTGTTCAAAAACATTTTTAAACGAAGCGATGAAGCCTTCAAGACTGCAAGATCATTTGAATAAAATGCATCCAGATAAAAACGACAAAAATGTAGCCTATTTTCAAGACCTGGAAAAAAGCATAATGCTCAGCCAAGTGTATCAAAACTTTTTACGGTGACTGCTACATGCAAGACGATGACGGACTTCGAGCTTCATCTCTTTATTAATTGCTGAAACAGGTAAACCACACACCATCGGAGAAACGTTAATTTTACCTGCAATAAAAGAAGTTATAATTACTATGCTCCATAAACCAATGGAAGACATAATTCGAAAAATCCCTTTGAGCAATAGTTCTGTGCAAAGACGAATTGATGAAATGGCTGAAAATATTGAAGAGTCATTGTGCAATCATCTGAAGACTAGTCAATTTTCAATTCAGTTGAATGAGTTCACTTTACCAACTAATGAAGCATTGTTGCTGTCTTGTATGATGGATGGATAGAAGTGAGGTTTATTAAAGATGAAAAAATATGTTAAGAACTATTATTTGCTAGAAATTTAGAGACAGACACATAAGGACAAACTACTGAAAATTGAAAACACTGGAAAAGTTTTGTGATTAAAAAGGGATTCCCTTGAAGAATATTACATCAGCTGCTACAGGTGGTGCTCCAGCTATGATGGGGTGTTAAACAGGCTTCATAGCGTACTTAAAAACAATATTCCAGAGGTGCTTGCTGTACATTGCGTTATATATCGACAGCATTTGGTTGCTAGAAATTTAAGTAAACGACTGTTTCAATCATTGCAACATGTCATCAGAGCAGTCAATAAAATCCGAAACAACTCTTTAAATGACAGATTATTTAATCAGCTTTGTGTTATTAATGATGAAGATTTCAACCGATGGATCTTTCACACAGAAGTGCGTTGGCTGTCATAAGGAAATTGTCTGACTTGATTTTACAATCTGTTTGACAAAAGGATAATATATGCATACCTGACAGACCTTTATAAATTGCTTAATGATATGAATTTTCAACTTCAAGACGATGACTTAAACTTAATAAGAAACTGCTCTTACACAAGAAGAATATCGGAAGACGTGAGATCCATAATTCTCCCAATTTATCAGTATCCTTCAACAACGATATTTTTTGTCTACTGCCAACATTTGGAAAATCTCCACAGTGATTTCATTGAAAGATTCCAGGACCTAGATAGGTTAGATTCTTTTTCAAATGTCAACATAGCAGTATCACCCAAACTGGAAGAAGAACTTATAGAACTGACAACGAACGAGGAAATAAAAATCAAATTCAAAAATGGCTACCAAAAATTATGGCTACAAAAGTCAATCCCGCAGTTGTACCGTGGATTGTGGTCGATCGTTCGACGATTTTTGATAGCATTTTCATAAGTCATATTTGTGTCATATTTGTGTGAACATGTATTTAGCGCTGTGACAAAGCTACTTACGAAAAAAAGAAATAGTTTGCATGTTACCGAACGCGGCGAATTAAGTTTTTGAGTAAAATCGGACCTGATATCAACAAGCTTGTTAAAAATCATCAAATTCATCCATCTCATTAAATTAGTTTTAAAACTAAAATTGATTACTTGTCTATATTGTTTCTTTTAATTTGATTAAAATATATTTTTAATATTAAAAAGTTGCGTTTTAATTGCGCTCACTGGTAATAATGTCTAGTTTAGAATGTAAGTATTAACACCAGAACCGACTAATATTAGCACACCATAACTAAATTAATTAAAGTAATAAAATTGCGGTTTTTAAGTTTTATAAAAAATCGGGGGCGTTGAAAAATAATTGATTGTCAATGGGGTGGTAAATGAAATAAGTTTGATAATCTCTGTATTATAATAAGAAGCAGGCCTCTGTCACTCTTGCTACCTGCGTGAAATAATTACCTACAATCGCGATCTGCCCGGGGGTAGATCGCAGTTGAGGCTATCGCGCTCTAGGCGATTGAATGTTAAAGTTTTTTTTTTAACGCTGTTTACGTAAATATTTTTTGTAAATACTTGTTGAAATACTTGTCGAAATAGTTTTTGTTTAGTGTTTAGTATATTTAATTGTAGGATAAAATAGTTGAAAAAGTTTTAATGTAATTTAAGAATAATATATATCTATGTATGTCGGAGCGTCTATAAAATATCACGTGGATCGATGTGGAAATGAGGGTATATCGAAAAGCCCCCACTTGTTTGTGCAGTATAAAGTTCACTGTAGGTGCCGTGCGCGAGATTCCGCTTAAGTCATTCAACGAGTGTGGTCATTCTACTTAGTGCTAAGATAGTGTTGTGGTTCTGTTCGTTGTTGTAATTTTTCTAGTGTAGGCAAGGAGGATTGGTGTTGCTGAGTGGCTGCGCTGTGTTACATTGAGATAAGTAGTGTTGCTGTTGGTTTACATATTTTGGTGTTATCATGTAATTACGTACCTCACGTTACACTGGTGTGTGATTGTGCCGGAGACGTGTTACGGTGTGGTCGAACTGTAATTTCATTATACTGAATGTATAGTGCGTTACGTTGTCTTATTACCGATAATGATTAATTGCGTAAGCACGAGAGCAAGTTGAACATCCGCTCTCACACTTTTATTATTTTTAACAGTTAACGCTATCCTGATGTATTTCCGAGATCAAAATTGGGATCCTCTGTTGAAATTGTCCAACATGTATATTATCCATCTATTCGATAAATTATAATGGCAAAACGTCGTTCCTACTATAATTGTTGCGGGGATGGATGCTCAATGAGCAATTAAAAGGATTCAGATATATCATTTTTTGACTTACCGAAGGATAATGAAAGGTAAATTTATTTAATTTTTTTGTTAGATAGGCACTTATAGCGAAAAAATAATTAAGTAATAATTTAACTACAGAAGTAATATCTAAGTACTTTATTATAAAACTTAGTTGAAATTTACTTCACTACCCAAGTACCTACTTACATACCTATACTCGTCTTTGTAATTAAAATATTTTAAGTTATAATAGCACAAAATACTGAAATTAAAACTTTGATTACAAGATTTTCAACTAAGTAGATTACGATCATGTTTCTGTTAGGAATCGTATTTCGTATAATACATAATACATACATAAACACTCAC